GGCACGTGCCATCACATCCGGTTTTGGGGTGTGACATGATTTAATGTGATTAATAACTTTGTTATATCCCGTGATTATTTCTCTACTTTGCGCACAACTTCACTATATTGTATGAGTGATACCTCTCTTAGGCCAGGAAATGAACTTCACTTTTTTCTTTCCTTTTGCATTTTTTTTTTTCTCATTTTTTAATTCAAATTATGTTTGAAAAGCATAAAGATCTCTGAAAAATCCTTTTTTTTTTTTTGCTTCTATTGGATTATATTTTTCTTTTTACTATGTTAAGGGCAGACAAGTATACTAGTTACCTATAAGGTTGGGAACATTTAAAAACCTATTTATTATAAATCAGATTACGATGATTAAGGAAAAGGAATGAATTTTATTATTTTTCCTATTTTTATAGTGCATGGTAAATTTGTAGCATACATGGTAAAAGATTTAGTCAACATACATTTAACTATGTGTTCATTTCTTTTTTATAAATATAAAATAATTAGAGCAACAAAAGGTATATTTCTTAGATGTCCTTTATTATACTTGAGTAATTACAAATACAGAATTTCATTTATTTATTCAAATGTATGAATGTATAATAATCTTAGCTTCAGAATGTTGGTAAAATTTATATTGTGTTTTTAAATCATTCACGCGTAACAATAGAAATTAATAGAGCTTAAATAAAAATAATTCTTTTTTCATTTGATATTATATACTTATTTACACTAAATTTGGATATGTTAACGTCAAAATTAAATTATTAAATTTCTTGCATTGTAACAAAATCTTCAAATATTAAATGCACACATCAAATAAAATCTAATTATAGCTCTCTGCAGGGTCCATTCGGAGCTCCAATATGGGCTCCGGACACCGGATGGGAAATCAAAAAAAAAAATCTAATTATAGCAGCAAAAAGGGGGGAAAGGTGATCTGTGAAATTAGTCAAAAGTTAAATAAAAAAGGAAAAATTACAGAAATCCCACATTTTAGTTTACTTATTACCATTATCCGCTATAATGTCACGACCCGAGCCTACACCCTGGATGTGGCCGGCACTCGAAGACCATTGCTGGTCCCCAAGCGAACCCTCATCCTGGCTGACTACAAGCGGAAGACTAACTTAAGCATGCAAAAGCTTAAAAATTGAATAAAATTCATGAAACTGAAATACAAAACTTTAACTCAAATGAAGAACTCTGAATATAAAAATAATATATTCAACTTGCCATAAATAGGCAACTTAAGTCTTTAAAAACAATTTAATAAAATAAATGATACAGACTTCTCAACTATACTGACTATCTATGAAGCCTCTAACTGTTAAAGATGGAAGTCGGGACAAGACCCACGACATCCTGACTAAACTGAAAAGTAAATGAAATCCTCCGGAAACAAGGAGGCTCACCATAGCTAACTCAAACTTCTGGATGTATCAACGAAGCTCCAGTTGATGATCCTGAATACCTGTGTCTGCATCATGAGAAGATGCAAGCCAAATGGCTCAGTACGTGGAATGTACGAGCATGTAAGAGGAATTCTAAAGCATAAACATAAGCTTGAACTTGATAAAAAAGAAACATACTTACCTCTTTTCAAACTCAATGAACTCAACTCAACTTAAGAATAAGATACTCAACTTCAAAGATATGATACTCGACTCAATGAAGCACAAATCAACTCAAGATACTCAACTTAAGGTACTCAACTTGAAATACTCAACATAACTGGACTCATTTCAATATAAAGCAATTTTTAAAGCAAATGCAATATAAAGAAAAGCTATTTAAAAACATGATGTCAACTCTATGTGTATGCAAGGATACAACATAACTCTGAAATGTATGTAGAAATACAAATAATTGTGTATATAAAAATACAATAACTTTTGTGTGAGTTTCTCTAACCGACAACCATCACTTAAGAGTTATAGTGATGATACAGCACTTTACCTCGCGCTGCCAAGGACCATCCTATGCCTTGCCATCGGTATAGGACCTTACTTAACTTAGTGGATCCACTAGCTAAACTTACATGATCATCTAAAGAGTATGACCCGTTGAATCCCATGTTGGCCACATGGTTCTTATGGAGATTTGAGTTAATATGAACTCGCATCCCCAATTCGGTGCTCAATACTGCTCCCAAAATATACTTTAGCTCATATGTGTTTTAAACACCTTTTTCTTTAATTTGAGATAATTGCTCAAAGCTTAGCCCAAAGGCTCTTTTGGAATCGATATTCCTTTTTTTGAAAACTAGCCCAAAGGCTCTTTTGGAAATCATAGTTCCTTTCTTGTTCAAATGTGTAAAAACATTTATAAACTCTTAGGGAATACTTAGTTCCCTTATAACTTATGAGAAATGAACTCAACTTCTTACACTTTGCTTAATTTGAAACTTTCAGTCTTAAAACGAAGTTAAAACGTTTATAAAAGACTTTACTCTTACTATTTACTTAACTTCAAAGCTAAGTCATAAAACAAAGTTAAAACATTTGTAAAAGACTCCTTAAATTATGGTTCATGCTGAATTAGGGACATGAATGACTCAATGCAAGGTTTTCAATAACCATAGATAGAACTCAATACTTGGAACTTAAGAACTTCAATGATACTACTCATTTAAAAATAGCTCAACTCAAAGGGTTCATGCGGAATTATAAGCATGAACTTCTTAACTCAAGAACTCAAAGATACTTCTCAAAAGGGCTTAGGAATTCAACACTTAAAGGCTTAAAACTTGATGATACCATTTCTCTAAAAGATGCTCAACTTACAAAGTTCATGCGGAATTATGGGCATGAAACAACTCGACTCGATGATCTACATAACAACATGGACTCATGTATACGACTCTTCTCATTCTGTTACTTACTTTCTTGGAACTTAGTTCAAATCTATAATTGATCTCAAAGGATTCACAATTGAACTCAAAGGCTTTCTTGAACTCTACTCTTAACTCTCTCTTGTATGCGAATTATGAATTCAAGAGTTATATTTCATGATATGAAGAATCTAGGTGATAGTGTAGACTCATGAATACATTATCCTCACTCTCATTCACACTTACTTGAGTCTTGAAACAAGTTACTAGAAGTTGTAGAAGACTCCTCAAAAGGGCTCAAAGGGACTTTCTTAGAATGTTCGAATGAATGCTCAAAACTTAACTCTTTAACTCTACCTTGAATTTGAATTATGGATTCAAGGTTATGATCATGTTAGGAGTGATTTTAGGTGTTTAGAAGTACCTTAGAGTAGTTAGAATCGAAAAGGAGTGAAGGTGCACTTTAAAAGAACTCAAATGGGGAAACCGACATCCAACTGGAGGGGAAGGAGACCTTGGGCTATGGGTGGCGTGGAGCGCCAGCTCCTAACTTTCAGAGGAGGGTTTGGGGCACTCTGGCAGGCGCATCGCACCAGGCCCCCAACCCAGAAAATCTAATGAACTTCTTTGCTCGTTTTCTCACCCTAACTCTCCTAGAATCGAACGGTTTCTTCTCCAATCACTTAGAATTGATTACCTAACATAAGTACACTCTAATCTACTCAATACATCCCTTAAAACACTCACTTTGATCTCAAGAAATCATCAAAAACCCAACACAACAAGATTTAGAATGAACTTCTAGAACACCTATCAAGAACTCTAATCTTTCAACTTCATGAATGAAATTTGCGCCGAAAATAACATGTTTGGCGTGTGGGTGAACAAACCCATCACTATGGAAGCTTACATTCCTCTTAGGGATCAAACCCATGGCGAAAATCCGCAACAAAACACAAGACTCTCGACGAACGCTTTGATCATCTCCTCTTTTCTCTTCTTGAACTCTCAACTAAAACCCTAGGCTAATTTTAGGATTATAAAACTGAACCTAATAGGATTAGACCCTTAAAACATTACTAAAAATGAATTAAATCTGATTGGGTAAGGAAAAGACCAAAATACCCCTCTAAAACCCGGTTTTTGACTTTCCTTAACTGGACAGCCTAACTTCAAAAGTCATATCTCACTCATATGAACTCGAAACTGAGCAAACTCGGTGGAGTTGGAAAGATAATTCAAAGGTCTTTCCTACGGTATCTGATAGCATACCTAAATCATAATGAGCTAGGAGTTATGGTAGTTTGAAGTTGACCCAAAACTCATACTTAAGCATAACTTGCAAAATTTCAGATTTTGCTATTTCCAATTTAATTATTTTTGGAACTCAAGGTGCTACATCTAGTGACCTGACCTTAATACTTAAGAAATTTTAAATTCCTTGGTAAAATCCTACTCACAACGAAGGATGGTTCAAGTCTTAGTTTGAAAAATTTTCTGGGGTGTTACATATAAGTTTTACAAATCTCCAAAATCCCTCATTTCCGCACATCAAATTAGTGTATCAACGCTTATATTATTGTATCTCGCGCATCAGATTAATGTATCAGCGCTTATATTATTGTATCTCGCGCATCAGATTAATGTATCAGTGCTTATATTATTGTATCTCGCGCATCATATTAATGTATCAGCGCTTATATTATTGTATCCGTTTGAGGGATTTCTGTAATTATAAACTTTTAAGGGATAAATTGTAATTTTGCCTTAAAAGTATGTGATTTCTATAATTTGCCCTAAAAAATCATGCATTTGACCAAATTTAATAATATTGACATTTTGCAATAAGAATCTAATTTGTCAAATCAAATATAATATTATGATTATTAAATAAACCACACATACACTTTAATAAGGTGGGAAAGAAACTAAACAAATAAAATTATTAGGCGAATTGATTTATTTAAAAAAAAAGAAGAGGAATACCTCATTAAGCAGAATTCCATCTATCTAAACTATACCATATGACTCACATATTAATAACACAAATGTATTAAAATGTGAAATGGTTTGCCTATCAAGTTAAATAAGGGGTTATCACGACTTAAGAAATTATAGATCCTAACATTTTTAAAATTGTAAAATACCCTTTCAATGAATTGCTTTTCTCTCTATATAAAGAATTTTCAATTTTTTGTTTTTTTTCTTTACAAAGTTAAAAAAATCGAACATGCAAAACAAAATGAAGATAAATATGATAAAGTATGAGAACTATACCATCAATTAATAACTAGATAGAATTATAATAACAATAGTTATGAAGAGTAAAATAAAAGAGATGAATATTATTTTCGAAACAAACTTAATTAATTAATATAGGAAATATTAGAGGTAAGACCACAAGTCCTCCCTCTTACAATATTTTTTCTAACATCCAATAAAATGGTAGAGATCTATCGAATCCTTACCATATAAGTAACTTCTTCAAAAAAAATATAACAACTAAACAACAATTAAAAAAACTAAGCGCTCCATGGGGCATAGACTCGGTCAAGTCGCTTATAGAATGCTGACGACTATTTTTCATTTAATAAGTGAAGGGGAGAGAGAAGCAAGGCTTAGCGAGAGCTTTATAAGACCGATCACTACATAAGTCACTTATATTATTACAAAGGCCAAATTAATTTTCTTTATCAATTGGCATTCTAAAGCGACATAAGGGACAAACATGATTTTTTTCAAGCCATTGAATAATGCAATCTCCATGAAACATATGCTTGCAAGGCATACGAGTTAGTTCAACAATGTCCTTTGTAAGCAACTTGCCAAGACATATCATACAAGTTTCACCAAAACTCTTGTCAACATTCAATGTCTCTACTTTCACCTTCTCAAGCTCTTCAATAGCATCCTTTGATGTTGGAATTACAGGCACAAACACACGCGTTTCTTCCAAGGTCATCAAATTCATCACAACTTGTTCCTCTATTAACCCTAGCTCATCCTCATTAGCTTCCTCGTGATCATGATCTTGATAAAGATTTGCAATTGTTTGAGGAATACGATGGACTATGTCGATGATGATTGAGATATTCTTAGATGTATC